CCCGACTGAACAGAAGCGCGGCCGCAGAGGGCAGGTCCACTCCCTCCCTCCGCCGTTTCTGACCTCGCAGCAGAGACGCCACCTGTAGCCGCGGGCAACCAACTCCGTGCCCCGCACCCCGCACCCCGCACCCCGCACCCCGCGTGCTGAGTGTTCCTGGGAAAGGAAGCACGCTGCTGTCCAAGGCCGGCTGTCGCTGCGCACACATCGGTGTGACGACAGGAAGGGGCAGGAGGTGCCAGGAAGCGGCCTGCACGCCCCCAAAGGCCGCCCGCGACAGGTCACGTCTGTTAAGGCTGGAAACAGACTCTGACCGCTGGAGTCACTAAATTATGAAAATGCCAGAAATCCCCAAAGAGAGAGGTCAAGTTAGAAAAGCACAATTATTGCAAAGCAGCAGAAGGAATCTAATGTGCATGGAAATGTCCCCGATCCCGAGGGCAGACGCTGGGACCGTCTGTCATGGGACCTGCCCAGGGTCCGTCCCTACTTTTTATTTCCTGGGGTCTCCGTGGTGACGGGAAGCCCCCAAAGCAGATCACCAACGCAGAGATTAAGTTGTTTAAGACGTCCTAAGACTCTTAATTCATATTTTATAAGACCGTGCATTTGGAGAGTGATCAACTGAGATTTAATTGGGTTAGACGTTATCATTTTAAATTTTAAATAACTGCACAAAGACGATGTTTGAAGTCTCCCATGCCTTGTCAGTCAGCGCTGGGACACTGTCTTGGCCTCTGAGGGACCAGGCATGGCTCAGCGTGTGTGAGGCGCTGCCAGGGGGAGCGTCGGCCGTCAGACGCAGGGCCACCAGGAAGGATGAGAGGACACGCCCGTCAGGGTCAGCTCCCTGTTCACAGCCGGACACCCGATGACCCAGTGTCTGTGGCTCTGTTTTACGAGAAACGCTGAAAGAAAATGCTGAGCACCGTGGAGGACAGGTGCCGGCAACCCAGCAGCCTCCCCGCTGTCCACGCAGCCTCTGGGCTGTCCACACGGCCTCCCTGCTGTCCACGCGGCCTCCCTGCTGTCCACGCAGCCTCCCCGCTGTCCACACAGCCTCTGGGCTGTCCACACGGCCTCCCTGCTGTCCACGCGGCCTCTGGGCTGTCCACGCAGCCTCCTTGCTGTCCACGCAGCCTCCCCGCTGTCCACGCAGGCTCTCTACTTTCCACGCAACCTCCCTGCTGTCCACGTGGCCTCCCCGCTGTCCACGCGGCCTCCCCGCTGTCCGCGTAGCCTCCCTGCTTTCCAGGCTCTGGCTGAACCCCCCCGGGACGTGCTGTTCCCACAGCCGGCCAGGACATACCAGTCTGCCCACCCTGTCAGGTGGAGCCCGTCCCTGTGGCCGCGGTGGCCCATGGGCCTCGAGGGATGGGGTGTCTGTCGTCGCCCGTCTACCGCCCGCTGCTCGGCTCAGGCACCGGCTACAGCTGGTCTCCCGCCCCCTCTGTCCCCCGGGCAGGCTGGGCGCCAGTGCCATCTCTACTGGGCTTGGCCTCCCAGCCACAGACGGCAGGGTGTCAGCAGCCCCAAGGGGGGGCCGCCCCCTGGGACCCGCGGCCTCACTTAGGCAGCACTGCCCTCTGGTGGACAGGCCGGGGCTCGCGGCAGCTGGGCAGCCTGGGCCGAGGAGCCGTGTCCACGGGCAGTGGGCTGTCCCTGCGCCCGCGTTCCGGAGAAGGACTGGTCTGCACTGCTCTCCTGCCTGTCACACCGGACCCCGAAGGCAGACGCTGGCACAGCCGCTCTGGCTGGGGCAGGGGCACGTCCGGCGACACCAGGGTGAGACCCCAGGAGGGTGCGCTGCACGCCCACCGCTGGGCGGTCACCCACGCTGGCGTGCCAGGCGCCTCGCCTGTTGTGGTGACACACTGCCCTCCAGCCTTTCCTCGCGCGTCCCCTGCCTCCCAAGGCAGTTGTGAGACCCCCCTGCTCTGCTTACAGAAGCTGACCTTCTGGGGGGCATAGCCCGAGGCAGAGCATTTGACTGCAGAAGCCGACACCCCTGCAGGCCTGGGCTCCCTCTGCATCCTCTCCGGGAGCCCGCAGACCACAGGGGGTTCACTTCCACGGTGAAGCTCACGTGTGTTTCAAGTACGTCTCCAGGATCACCGTGCAGTCAGGACATCCCCAGTGATGCAGGCCCTCGGGGGACAGAGGCACATGGCTACAGTGTGGGTCCAGGCATACCCCCGAAACTGATGAGCCTCAGCTCCCACGGGACCTCGTCAGAGCCCACGAAAACGTGGCAGTGCGCTCCTGGCCATCCCGCTGTGGGCCTCAGACAGAGGGGCTCCGGAGGTGGGTAGACGAGGCGAGGCCCAGCTCATCCCACCCACCCACCCCCAGCAGGAAATGTGGGGTGACGAGGCCGTTGCTTCTGCGCCCCCACTGCCATAGCGTCCAGGTTTGACCTGGGAGTGGCCAAGGCACAGGCGCCAGGTGTGGGGACAGGGCGGGAAGGGAGGTGACTGCCTGGGCCGCCGTGGGCCCACTGACAGAGTCTCCTGGGTCACTGTGCAGCTGGGACGTCGTCCGTTAGCGGGCACACACACTGGCTTGTGTAAAACTCGTCATTTCGATCTGTCTTCCATTTCTTCCTCATGGAAGTCAAGGGGTTGTAACTTTCACTTGTTTTCAGTGAGCCCGCGTGGCCAGTGCTGCGGTCTCAGAGGGGTTGGGACCAGGCCGTGCCCTTAACAGAGGCCCGGAGCTGCACCTGGCCAGGCCTCCCCACTGGGTCACCTGTAAACGGGCAGTGACACCACCCAGCAGGTTCACAGTGCCCGGCAGCAGGGTGGACACAGCTGTGCCGTCGGCAGGTCAGGGCCTTGCCCCGGACTCGGACACTAGGCGTCCTCGGAGTGCACGACGACATGGGCACCAACAGCCCTCGGGCACACGGTGCCACCCGCAGTGCCACCCACGAGCCGCAGCGGGAGCATCGGCACACAGCCGGGCCTCACGCTGGGGCCCGCCAGGCTGACGACAGGCTGCACCGGGAGGCCCCCGCGCCGACGCGGCTCCAGCGGCTTCTGTTGGCTTCATGTTATCTCCACGTTTACGGCCCCTGTTAACAGGTCGGTGCAACTTGAGGCCCCCGCGCCGACGCAGCTCCAGCGGCTTCTGTTGGCTTCATGTTATCTCCGCGTTTACGGCCCCTGTTAACAGGTCGGTGCAACTTCTCCGCTTCAGCATGCAAACCACTCACTGTCTGCGTCTCTTCACAAGGGGAGCCGCCCCACTGTGCACGCGCTGCGGAGTCTCAGTGGAGGCGGTGGCAGTGAGTGACACTCCACCAGAGTGTCAGCCCCAGGCCGAGTCACCCGTCTGAAGAGGCGGGGTGGCCCAGGTCAGCAGAGCCTGCCCACTGCGCCCGACCCCCTCCCAAACAGGCCCTCGAGGACCCTGCTGGGCAGCATTCACGTGGTCCGGGCCTCGTCCACCCACTTTTGGACATGAAGTTGAGCAAGGAGACCAAGGGCAAATGAGTCATAAGGAGAGAGTGCGCCCCGTTCCTGTTCTGGGGGGCCCCCAGCGCACGGCCGCCCAGAACCACAGGGCGGGCCCGCAGACACTCAGTGTTTGCAGCTGTGATTAGTGAGGCAGTGGTCATACTGGACAGGGTGGGCCCAGTCCAAAGACTGTCCCTGTAAGGTCACACGTGACAGAGAGGTCACGTGAAGACAAAGGCAGGGGCTGGAGGATGCGTCTGGGAGCGCCCGCACCACCGGGAGCCGGGGACTGGCCTGGCCTGCCTTGGTGTCTCCAGAGGGAGCGAGGCCACGAGGCCCACGAGGCCCTGGGGACACCCTGACTTCAGACTCTGGCCTCTGCGAGATTGAGTCCTGTGTGTGACACACCCACCGTGGGGCAGTTTGGTGGGGTGGCCCCAGGAAAAGCACGTTTGTCCCTCGACGACTGGCGTCTGCAGGACCCAGGAGACGGCTGCCAAGGACCGGCCTCTGGGCTGGCACAGTCCTCCAGCAAACCGGGATGAGCGCACACCAGAGTCGCCACACGGAGGCCCTTTCCCACGGGTCGGACCATGGAACCCCAGGCATGGCCAGGCACAGGAGGGGCTCAGGGGATCCCATCCGGCACTGGGGTCCCCTTCGGGACGACACTGAGTGCAAGCCCAGCATTCCACCTGTGACAGCAGCGCCCTTAGCGCGGCCCTCCCCTCACGGCCTCAGGCCCTGCTGGCGTGGCATTGGACTCAGCACTGCTGTACACCGCAGGGCAGACGGCGGGGTAGGCCCCTCTACCAGGCAGGCGGGGTGGCCCATGGCATCAGGTCACGTGGGCAGTTCCCAGTTGATGGCCGCGGAGCCCAGGAAGTGCATTTCCACTTCCCGACGGCTCAGGGACCGGGCGCGCTCAGAGTGGGGAGGCGGGGCTCACCCCGCCTGGATGGCGTGGGCCTGTGTGGGGAGGCCGGGCCTCAGCTGCACGGTGGTGTCAGGGGGGAGGCCGGGTAGGGGCAGGGGGGCCCAGAGGTGGTCACAGGCAGAGCCACAGGCTGTGAGCGCGCTGCCACCTGGTCACGTATTTGAGGCCCTGCGTCTGGACCCGTGTCCATAGCGAGAGCTAAGGACGGAGAGGAGACTGGCGGCTTTGGGGCTCCGTGTGCGGCCGCGGCAGCTCCAGGTTTCGTAAACAGGAAGCTGAAACTGCAGCCGACGGTAACCGCAGAGCTCGCGGCCAGCGTGGTCACCTGCACTGGGGGGCGACCCCGCCTCAGTCCCCACGTCTAAGTGTCACTCGTTTGCAAAGGACCCTTCTGTGAAAGAGCACGCTGTGAACGGCCGTCCTTGACACACTTTATTCGCACTGGGGAGGTGCGCGTACAGCTCCGGGTCCCCGGCTTCGGGCCACGCCGAGGCGCCCCCCGCGGCCTAGTGGTGCTGCTGTCTGAACTGGAGTCCGCAGTAACCGCACGTCCCAGTTTTTGTTTCCTTGTCCTGAAAAAATTCAAAAGACGTCACATTTCCACATCCGCCTTCAGACGTGAACACAGGCGTCAGACACCGAGAGGGCGCGCGAAACCGGAACGCGCTGCCGGCCAGGAGCGCTGAGCACCACGCGCGAGGGGGCCACGGCCTGCGCCCGGCCCTGGCTCCCCGCCTGGAACGCCGGTCCCCTCAGAGGACCTCCAAGGACCGCGCGAGGACAGAAAGGGTCAGCACAGCGGCCACTGCTGCCCTTGGCTCCCTCCGTCCAGGAGGGCGGGGCGTCTCCCCGAGCAGAGACTTGGGTGGACTCGAGCGGGTGGGGTCCTCACACCCCCGTCCCCCATGCGCCACGTGCACGTGAGGCTCGGCCCCGGCTCCCTCCTCTGCTCTGACGTCCCTAGGGCTCTTCCTCTCTAGGGCTCCGTGCGTTCCCCAATGCGGGCCCCGAAACAACAGCTCGGGGAGAGACAGGAGCCTACGTGTTTGCCAGGAAGTCGGGGGGTCAGTGTGGGCATCGCTGAGCACGCGGCACAGCGCGGCCGGGAGGGGTGGCCCCTCGTTCCGGCCCCGCCACGGGTTCTGGCAGAATCAGGGAGCAGCGCGCGGTCAAAGGGACAGAGTGAGGGCCACCCGGGAGCAGGGACGGCACCGGGAACCGCGGTCACAGTACCAAGTTTATGTAGACTTTGGGGTGGCCGAGGGCCCCGCCGCCGCCGTCGCACGATACCACGCGGCTCTCCACGTCGCTCACCGGCTGCTCGGCTATCAAATCGATGGCGAAGTTCTCGTTCACCTGCAACGGGAAGACGTGGACAGACACACACGAAAACCTGATCATCTCGCGAGGCTTAAATGTACACAGACGACCTCCAGCCCGCCCCGCACAGGCAGAACTATAGTCTGTATGTGTTTACTTAAAGATAATCGTAAGTCTTCTTAATACGTGTGCACGCACGCACGCATTTAATTTTTCGTTCGGACGTAATTTCATAGAAATGTTGCAAGAATCACGACTGCACAGGAGCCTCGTTTCGTCTTCGCTGGGCTCATGCGTCGCTGACATCCTGCCCCCCTTGTCACTCGCTCTCGCCTCTCCCCGCCCCCTCCAGGCACACACACATGTGCACACATGCACACGCACGCACATGCACACATGCACACACATGCGCGCACACATGCACACACACGCACACGCACGCACATGCACACACACACGTGTGCACAGGGTCCCAGATCCACCCGCTGGGAAAGCTTAGGAGCAGTGAATGACCAGTGGCACTGAGCCCAGAGTCCACACCATGTCACGCTGACCGAGCCCGCGTGGCTGTGACAGAGGAAAGGAAGCGGCAGAGACAACTACGCGGGACCGCGTCTAACGGCAGCCCGCCTGGGGACGTGGCCTCATGGGATCCAATGGGACACAGGAGACTGGAGGATGATGGCATTGTCACTGTGGGACCCAGGGCCGGCGAGGGCACCTGGCTGCGCTGTCCAGGTGTCTGAGTCACTCCGACGCCCTCACGACGGGGCCATGCGGTGTTTTCCAAACTGGTGAGTGCAGAGCCCAGTTCCCTTGCTCCCTTCAGGGGAACTGACGGCTCCGCCAGGCGAGTCCTCAAGCTGGCAGCAGGAACAGAGGCCACGCCGACAGCCCGGGTTAGTGACCAGGACACGCTTGTCCACCCCATGCCAGAGCCACCACGTCCCCACCCCCGTTGTCTCAGCCCAGACGAACGACCGAGTCAGAGGACCAGAGGACCGAACAGCAGGAAAGGGCTGCAGTCGGTCAGCACGAGCTGTGGCCACCGCAGAAGAAACACCTGGGCCTGTGACCGGGACACTGGGAGAAGGGGCCGTGTGTGTGTGTGTGCGCGCGCGCGCGTGCGTGCATGTGTGTACATGTGCGTGTGAACATGTGCAGGGGGGCGGGACCTAAAGATCAGAGAACCTTGGACACGTCACAACTGCAATGCATGGCACTTACTTGGACTGAGTCAAACTAGCTGTAAATTTTTCTTCAATGTGACACAATCGAGAATGTTTACCACCACCAGACAC